GAAGAAGGGGGCCCCCCCCCCTGCCGAAGGGCGGCCGGGGCCGTTTGAGGCTCTGGAAGGGGTCCCTGGCGCCGAAGGGCTCCCGCGGGCGGAACTCGGCGCGGGGGGTGCGGAGCAGGACGGAGCCGCGGCCCCCGGGGGGGTCCCGGTGCGCGGGGGGGCCCAGGCCGCGCCCCGCCCCCAGCTGCTCGCGGGGCAGGGGGCTCGGCCCCGCGGGGTCGCGCGAGCGGGGCAGGGGGTCCCGCGGCTGCGCCCCCCCGAAGTGCTCCTTCAGCGTCCCTGGCAGCGTACCGTGCTCCTTGGGGAAGGCGCCGGCGCCGTGCTCCAGGGGGGGCGGCGCGGGGAACGGGACCCCGCCGTGCTCCCCGGCCGGCGGCGGCTGCGCGGGGAAGGGCACCCCGGAGTGCTCCCCGGGCACGGGGGGCGGCGGGGGCGTGGGGAACGGGACCCCCGCGTGCTCCACCGAGGGGGGCGGGGGGACGCCGTGGGGCAGCGGCAGCGGGGCGGGGGTCTCCTTGGAGAAGGGGTTGGCGTGATCCACCGACGGCAGGCGCGGGGGCACCGCGTGATCCCGCGGGAAGAGGCCGCCGTGGTCCTTGGGGGGGGCGGGCGGGGGCACGGCGGGCGGCCCCACGGGGTCCCGCGGGAAGGGGGTCCCGTGCTCCAGGGGCGGCGGCGCGAGGGGCGGCGGCGGCAGGTGGTGCTCGAAGGCGGGGCTGAAGTTGTTCGTTCGGAAGTTGTTGACGCTCTCCGGGAAGGGCGGCACGTGCTCCTTGTAGGGCGCCGGGAAGCCGCCCATGCCGGGCAGCTCCGAGGAGCCCGAGGGGCCGTTGTCGAAGGCGCTCCCGCCGCCGCTCAGCTCGAACCAGCCCGCCCGGCTCCCCTCGCGCCCGTGGCCCCGGCTGCCCTTGCCCAGCACCCGGATGGACTCCACGGTCTGGATGGGCTCCCCCGGCATGCCCCGGCTCGAGGCATTGTGGTAGCCCAGCGTCTCGATGGGGGCCCCCTTCTCCTCGGTGCTGTCGGGGAGGTCCAGGCAGGAGGAGGACACGCGGGTCTCGATGCGATAGTGCTCCTCGGGAGGCTGCGGGTCCTTGGCGGCCCCGGACAAGCTCCCGCCCTCGCCGGAGCTGCTTTTGGGAATCTGCCCAAAGTGCTTCTCCTCGGAGGGCTTCCGGGAGGCGTTTTTGAGCATGTTCTTGAACTCGATGGTGGAGGTGGCGGAGATGGAAGAGCCCATGGGTTTGTCCCCGCCCGCTGCGGGCGCTCGGCCGGCAGGGCTGGGGAGGGTGTTCTGGGAGGAGAAGAGCGAGCGGTGGGGAAGCGCGTGGGGCGAGTCCGGGTATTGCTTCTGCGGGAGCCCGGGCTTGGGCAGGGTGTTGTGGTTGGAGTCCGGCGTGAAGAACACGTCGTTCTTGCTGGGCGACGGGGACCCGTCCGAGGCCGAGTCCTTCCCCCGGCGGCCGTAGCTCCCGAACATCCCCGGGGACGAGGCCAGCGGGTCGCAGCCCTCGCTCTGATCCAGGATAGACCTCATGGAGGGGGGGAAGGACGGCTTCACACCGAACTCCTGCGACCTCTGGCCGTAGCTGGACAGCACCGGCTGGTACTCCGCAGACTCCGGGAGTTTGCTCGATTTTAGGATAGACTTGACGGGCTTCTTCTCCAGGTTCAGCATGGCCGAGGGCGGCGGCCCGGAGTAGTCGAAGTCACGGTAGTCCTCGTCTTCTTGGAAAGACGTGTCTGGGTAAAACTTCTCCTGGGAGGAGTCCATCAGAGAGGAGGGAATCTCCCTGCTGTCCGCAGGCGGCTTGTACAGCCCGGCCGGAGACTCTCTGCCGAGGCCAAAGGGCCGGTAGCCGTGCACGGAACTGGGAAGTTCTTGGGAATATCCATCATCCCGGCCCTGCAGAGGCGACCTCGTGCTGCTGGGAGTAGAAGAACCAGGGCTCATGATTTTTGACAGCAGGGAGATCGTGTCCACGTTGCTCGATGTCGGCTTGTCCATCATCTCATCCTGGGTGGGTGTCCCGCTCCGCTCATCCCGCACCGGCGTCCCGTCCACATTGTCCATGGTAGTGCTGGTGGGACCACGCTGGAAGTCAGAGGTGTGACTCTCCGTTGCCATGCTGGACCCCAAGCTGCTGAGGATGGGAATATTTAAGTTCAGGCCACTGAAGCCAGGGTTTCCCTTCAGGAAATTGTGTATCTTCATCTCCAGGCTGGGAGAAGGGGGTTCTGATTCCAGCTTGGCTTTTGAAATTTCGGAGGACTGACCCAGTGGGGTTTCTGTTGGCAAAAGGGAAGAAGGACTGGTAGGGTGGGAACTGGAAAATCCCAGGGAATTGGTTGGTGGTTTAAAACTGGAGCTTGACAGCGCTGGGGCGTGTCCGACAGGAGCCTTATTGACCGAAGTGGAGGAAACCTCCGCGGTGGATGAGTTTGGAGAATAACCAAAACTTTTGGATATAAAGGACTGTGGATTGGAAGGAACATTCCTCCCCTTCATGCTGGGCACAGTTGTGTTGGCTGGTGATGCCGAAGTGCTCTGGGAGGCGGGTTCGCCCGACTGGACGGTGTTTCCAGCCACACTCTGCAGCAGGGATGACAAACCTGCAAGACAGAACTGCATCAGGAACTCTGGAGAGGCAAATCTCCCCGAGCCGCTTCCAAAGGAAAGGCTTCCCTGTTTCCACTGTGGATGGCATTCCCTGACACCCCCCCCCATGCTCCAGCCAGGGAAAGGACTGGATTGTGCCATGTTGACATTAGCACCCAGCGAGGTGCAACCTCCTGCCAGAGGCTCAGATTGATCCACAAATATAAATTACTCCGCTGGCTCAGTTGGGCAAGAACTTGTCCTGGTCTGCAGCCAGGTGTGTGAAACCCTGCCCTGCTGGCCAGGTGACCCGTGCAAGGTGCCAGATCAGGAGCAGAACCTCTGGGAGCTTTGTGCACAAGGAAAACACAGAGACCTCTTGGTCTCCTGTCCCCTTCAGGGGCCTCACACGGCCTGTTCCAGGTACGTGCACTTCAGTCACGGCACAAGCAGGAGGAAGCACAGAGAAGTGACAGAACTCACTGGTCCGTGACACGTGTGCTACCTGAGAAAGACCATCTGCACGTGCCACAGGTGTAAAACATTCCAAGGAAGTTTTTCTCCCTCTGTTTTCACTTCAGGACAGGCAGAGCAGCACGTTTCAGCCCAGCACCTTTGAACCCACCAGCCCTTGCCCAACATCCAGGCCAGTACCTTGCAGTGCCGGCGCCGTCTGGGTCTGGGTTTTGGAGAGAGCCGACAAAATGCTTTCCGGAGTTATCTCCACTTTGGAGAGAATGTTTGCTAACGGATTCGAAGGAGCAGACGGAGTCCCCAGGACAGGAGTCTTCAGGCCACTGGTGAGAGCTGTGGGGCTGGTCGGGGTCCCCGGCGAGGGTCTGGAGGCAGGGCTCACACCTGGGATGGGAGCACACACCACTCACCTGAGCTGCCCCGCTAACCAAAGCACTTCTGGCTCAGGTTTTCCACACACACCACTGAGCTCAGGAAGCCAACAGCGTGTGCCAGAGTCCGAGCCAGAGCTCAGACAGCAGGAACTCACTCGTGTTTATTTTGAGACAATTCAAGCTCTAAACAATCACCCCACTGTGCCAGCGCCGGCGCCCAAGGCCTGGCTCAGGACTCACCTGTGCTCTTCATCACCGACGTCAAACTGCTCAGGATGGAGCTGATCTTGGCCAGGTCCACGTTGGCCAGGTTGGGCAGGGCCAGCGCCGGTGCCGGCGGGACGGGCACTGTGCTCGCCGCCTTCGGAGCCGGAGGGGTCGGGGCCGGCGTCGTCACCGTCCCCGAGGCCGCGGCGGCCGCAGTGGCCACCGGGGCTGCT